GCATTCACTAAATATATGTTTGAGCCACCACCCAAGTGTCCCCACAAATTTTCATCACAAAGTAACACCCCTGTGGTGATGGTAGCCTGGACACCGGTGGCCGCGAGCCCAGAAAGGCAGGCGGGGGGAAGCATATGGTCACTGGGTCTGGTTCATTCGCTCTGTCCCCGGCTGGCTCCCTGCCCCCGTCCGCCAGGGTTACTGGACCAGCCCAATAGATGACGGCTCGGTTTGAGTGCCTGGAGCCCGGACCCCCATCCACCCCACCACACAAAAAAAAAAAAAAGTGTCCTCCTTTTCAGAAACCCTTATCTGGTCACCCGAGATTAAAACTTAGATCTCCAGACTGAAGTAGAAGTAAACTTGGACAGAAGTATTTCTTTAAATTTGTACTAAAGTAATTTACATTTTCATAAAAAAAAACAACTAGGTAAGGCTTTCTTTTACATTGCATCAATAACCATGTAATAACAGGGTAATAACATAGCAAGTTATACTATATTACTTGGTAACAAGAGAAACTTTATTTAGCAATTACCTGCATGTAATTATTACAATTGTATGTTACTATGTAACGATGGAGACTTTTGGTGGGTAATTAACATCGGGTTACCACATAACAGTTTCTATTATTGTCCACCACCTACCTAAACTAACGGTTTACAAAGTAAATTGTAACTAATGATCAAGTAACAAAAACACTATAAACTGAAGTCAAGTTACATATAAATAAGAGTTTAGTTGAGAATTGAGATTGTCTTGCTGTCTTCTAGGTTTGATGTTCTGTTATATGCCAACTAATAAACTGCATTTTACTAGATAATAACATTAATTTATAGATGTCTGTGAAATGACTGAGTTAATCGGTTATAAGGGTTTGAAATCTAAGAAGTCCGACTTTTCCTTGTCTGCCTAAAATTTGAAGCACAGCACTTACCAATTCTCCATAAAGTTTTTTTTATCTTGTTACCTAGTAATATAGTGTAACTTGATATGTTATTACCCTGTTATTGCATGATTAGTGATCTACTGTAAAAGAAAGCATTACCAAAAACTAACACTAACACTTATTTCTTATAATCAACACTATTTAAATATCATATTTAATTCGGAAATATATTTCTGGAAATAATCAGTGATGAAATAGTAATTTCCCAGTTTTTTTTTAACGGTTGTAGTATTTCCTTTATTTATTAATGAAATATGGTGCTAAGTCATGTTTTGCCCTGATCTCTCAGTGATCTCTGTGATCGACCGCATGGTCTGATGATGTGTGCGACAACACATTAGTTAACAAAGCGTCCTTGTGGTGAAACCCAGATATTGTGACTTGACGTGACAGAACTTGGCATCAAAATCTGACTCTTCAAAGCAAGTTTAATGAAACTTCCCTCCGGCGGTAACAGGCCATGTTAATCTCTGTGCAGAACTAATGTTGTAAAACAATCCATGCTTTAGTTTTAGTTGTCCTGACATCCAAAGCAGTAATGCTCTGTTGGAACCAGCACTGTGAATTATTCTTATAGCCTTTTTTGTTCACATTTTTCTTGTTTTTTTTGTTTGTTTCAAAACTGAAAAAAAAAAACAATCTGTATTTACATTTATATTCCAAGGGGGAAAAATGATCAAGTTAAAAGTTGCTAAATAAAGGCATTAAATTAGCAGCACGTTACCCCACAGCTCCAAACAGAACATTAAATATGGTAAAAACAAAGAAAAAAGTTTTTTTTTTCACGTTGCTTTATCTATTTGAAATATATTTGGCTTTGCTAAAGAAAAACATCAATATTTTTTACAAATCTTCTTTTTACATGATATGTTAGATTCCATTTCAGTTTCTCGTCTATGATTGTTCCCGAAAACCTGAATCCTCACAACCTCTCACTAGGAATATTGTTTAAACTCAATAATTTAAGACAGTTTAGATCTGTGAACAATGCACTGCAAAAACTTGTTAATATAAATACGTAAATTTTTTCTTGCAATAAGTACATTTTTTTTTTTTTAGGAGGCAAGTGAGACACTTTGCCAATGGAACAAGACAATTTACATTTGAAAGAGGAAAACACAATTGCATTGACTTATTTCAAGTGCATATTATCTAATTATCTTATTTTAGGAATAAAAATACCCATTCAATTGGCTAATTATCTTATTTGCCTTCTAAAATTAATGGTAGACACATTTAATTTAAGATATTTTTGCTAATTTCTAGATTGTTTTTGCAATGTGCAAACTTTGTTTAACTTAAAATGCAGGAAATTTTATTTTAGTTAAAAATGTACAGTAATAGTGAGCATACACAGAAGCCGGCTCAGAACAGTGATGCCCACTGTGAACAACATCAGACGTGCACACTGAGGCCGGACACCAATATTATATCTGTTATAAACCCAGGATCATATAAAGTTACGTTGTTTATTAAAAGAATAAGATATTGCAGAAGAAATTGCCATCAGTTTACTTTTAATATAAATGATTTAGCCCACTTAAAAAAAAAAAAACTTTGTTAATGAGATGTGTATGTGTTCAATGTGAAGGATTGCGTTGGGGTGAGGGTCCTGCTCTTGAGGAATTGAGACGTTACACCTTTCAGACATTACTTTTTGTTCACATTAAAACATTAACATTTTGCACATTGAAATTTGCACTGAAGCATGTGATGCAGAATAAATTCCTGTAACTATTTGTCTGTAAATGTTTTAGTTACAGTTATTTATTTTTCCAACTAACGTAAATTATACAATAGTTGTAGAACTTCATGATGAATATCCATAAATAAGAAATATTAATATATGTCATTAGAATATGAACAAATCTGACTTAACATTTGATCTATTTTTACATCTGTCCTTCTCAATTCTCAAATAGTTCTTCAAATATGCCATTTTAAGTTCTTTCTGGATGCTATTTAGATATAATTACTTTAAATAAATCTTTTACAATCAGCGTTGGATGCTTGAAATGAAGCACATATGTCCACCAGCTGTGATTCAGCTTTTGCTTCCAAATCCAAGGGTGCTGTGAACAGGTGCATGTTCAACTTTGTGCATGTTGGACAGCAGGATTATTGCAAACAGGTGAGAGTTTTCTGTTGTTTTAGAAACCTAGACTGATAAATAATTTGGGCTTTATATTCTGCTTCCTGTTGGATTATCTATTTCTGCACCGACAGCTCTTTGATGCGCTGAAAAAGGACATTTGCTTAGCCTTTATTTTAAGGACAACAAAGTTTTATTAGCCATATATAGATTCAGTTTATACAAGTATTACACTGATTTTGATATTTTAACCCTTTAAATCCTTGTGTATCATATTTGATACATTGGTTTTTGAGAGTTTTGCATCTTCAGTGAGATATTTTTGTTCTTGAAAACCAGGACTTACACAATAAGACACATGTAGCTAAAAGAAAAAAATTTAAACAGAAAAGATTATACAGAAATACCTAATGTATCAAAATGATTCAGATAAAAGATCTAATAGACCCTGTTTTTTTTCATTTTGCAGAAAGTTTAATGACCACTCCAATTAAGAAAAAAATGAACATTCAAGTTCATAGTTCAGACTTTAAAGGGTTAAACTGGGCTTTGAAAATAAACTATGGAAGCTGAGAGCGGTCGTACAGACTTTTTCACAATGGTATTCTTGAGAAAACGAGTTAATTTTCTCATTATCCAAAGATAACGAAAGCCGTTTTCTCCCGATAATGAGACGATTGATGTGTGATAAAACTGATTACATCCTTCAACACATCAACAGTGGGAGAGAATTTAGAATAATAAATCATGGCAGCCTAAGTGTAATTCTATAAATAATCCTGTGTTTAACTTTTAGTTAACGAGACGTTGTTGGTTTGATGATTTGCTTCCACTTCTGATTCATAAGCAATTAGACCAATGCCCCTGACGCCTTCGCATCGGGTGTTTTCTGAACAGCCCCTGTGTTACACATGTAACAGGTATAAGATGCATTAACCCCCAAAATGAGGCCAGATTACAGATTTTCATTGAAAGATCTGTTTCTACTGTATTCCATGCAATCCAATCATCCACCACCAATTCACAAGTGAAAAGAAAAAGGAAACTGAAAATGCCAGCCTCATTCATTTCTCATACAGGTTAATTATGTCGTTATCTCGAGAAATCAATTTATTGTTTAACCATGATAATAAGATAGTTATGCCATTATCTTGAGAAGGCAAAGGGGAAAACATTTTTGTATGACCGCTCTTGGATTCCGTAGTAAACAGCTGATTGATACAATAAAACTTTCTTAGATGCGTCCAGCAGCCTCTGGTACTTTGAGATCATAAAGACGCAATGCTATAATAGCCCACATGAAAAAAAAAAAAAAAAAAAAAAAAAGATAAATGTATTTCCCACTGATTTTTTAAAACTATGTTTAATTTGGGGTTCCTGAAAATACATGGTCTATTTTATGTAACAAAATTTTGAAAAAAAAAAAACCCAATTTAAAAAAACCCCCAAAAAAAAAAAAAAAAAAAAAAAAAAAAAAAAAAAAGATAAATGTATTTCCCACTGATTTTTTAAAACTATGTTTAATTTGGGGTTCCTGAAAATACATGGTCTATTTTATGTAACAAAATTTTGAAAAAAAAAAAACGCCTTTTTTTAATGTATTTTCCTTGTTGATATTAAGTTTAAAAATGTAATTGGTCTAATGGATTTACAGTTTATGTTGGATTTTATTTTGAGTGCTCCATAAACTTTCTTGTTTGCTGAGATTGCGCAGGTGTGCAGTTTGGAGGGAATGACAGCGGCATTCAAAGACAAAGGATTAAAAAACGTGAAAATTCTTAGAGATTTTAGGTCATGTTTGAACCAAGACACCATTTAACACAGACCACCCATGGTCCCCATTTGAAACTGATAGAGAATATGATCTGCAGATTAGGCTGATGGAAGGAGGTTCCATAAAAATCCTTTAATGAAAACTGGACAGATTTGTTTGAGGCTCCTTTTAATCTGATTTATCCTGTGAGCAACAATTATTAAGCTGATTAAATCTACTATTTTGGTGAATCTCCAGAGTTCTTACTTTGTCTCCTTCTTGGACCTGACAGATGGTGTCCCCAGTTGCTGGGTTCAGAGTGGGGAACGTCCTTCCACTGATTGACGTGTGCCACTCGTTGTTGATGAAAATCTGTGCAGAGTGAAGCCACATGTTCCTTTTTAGCTTAAGTTTTATAAAAAGTGGCCTGAAGACACTGAATCCCACAGTTGAAAAAGTCGAAGTCTAAATAAGCTAAATAAGCCTTATTTTCTTAAAATAAGTGGTTACGTTCATGAATTGAGGAGGTAAGTGAGACACTTTGCCAATGGAACAAGATCATTTACATTTAAAATAAGAAAAAATATGATTGCATTGTCTTATTTCAAGTGCTTATTATCTTTTTTTTAAGGAGTAAAAATACTTGTTCCATTAGCAAATCATCTTATTTACCTACTCAAATTAAGGGTAAAATACTTAATTGAAGAAATGTTGACTTATTTCTAGATAGTTTTGCAGTGCAGTCAGTGTGTGTGGGGCAGCATTACCTTGGTGTGTCTGACCTGCTGGACTTTGACAGGCTGAGGTAGATCTGAAGCTGGGATCTTGTCTGCCACTCCGTTGCCTGTCCCCCCCTCCTGTGCCATGCTTAGGTCCCAGTCTGGAGCAGGTATGAGTCTCTCTGCAGATTCTCCAACTCACTGCCTTTAAAGTGTCCCCCCTTCCCCTCCCCTGTGAGCTCAGCTCCGCCCCTTGCCAATTCATGAAGAAATCTGTCCTGTAAACTCTGGGAAAGATCTGGGCTCTTCGATTATTAATAACTTACATTCTGCTCATGTAATTGCACTCTCTCGGAAATCTATTTTTTGTTTTCAGTTTGAGAGAACTGAAAGTGTCTTCATGTCAATAAAGCTGAAGTAATGAATGAGTCTCTGACTGGTTCTTGCTCGTATGAGATAGTAATGAGAGAACGCCCCATCAGGCTGTAAAATGTTTGCTCAGACTGTCTGATCTGCTGCTATAGGCTTCGACTTCTGGAGGACATAGGGACCCCTATTTCATTATTCTGCTTGATTCTATTTCTATTCTCTCACTCTGCAGTATTTATTAGTTCAATCTCTAACGTTCTGCTCTCTCTGATTTTTCTCATAGTAGCTTCATCTGGTCTCTTCCTGTTTGGCTGTGACTCCATCCTGGAGAGAAATATCAGCTGTGCTGCTGCCATCAACACCTTTGTTTCTAGATGTTGGAGATCGGCCTGTTTTTCAGTGTAGTCCTGTTTCTCTGACTGTGACTGGCTGGATTTGCTCTCTTTGTCCTC